TGATTCTCAACCCGGCATACCCGAATTTGAACTGGGCAAAATGGAAATCGAACTGATTAAACTGGCGATATAAGAAAACAAACTGGCCGAATTGGAACATTAACAAGCCAAACTGGCACCTTAACCTGCCAAACAGGCAGCCAGACTTGCCAACCATGCAGACAAACTTGCCAAACAGGCAGCCAAACCTGCCAAACAGGTTCCCGAACTGGCTAAACAGGAAACAAAACTGGCCAAACAGGCTGCTAAACTTGCCAAAAAGGAAGCAAAATTGCAAAACGGGCAGCGGAACTTGCCAAATGGGAAGCAAAACTTGCCAAACTGGGGAAACAGGCAGCTGAACTTGCCAAACAGGCTAAACTGAGTGCTAGACAGGTGAAAGTGGTAGCAGAACTGGTCCTACTGGTATTCAAACTGTTCAAAATGGTGACTGAACTGGTTACACTGATAATCAAACTGTTTTTCAAACTTGTAGCAGAGCATTGTGGTGGAACTGATCAAACTGGTAGCTAACTGCTCAAACTGGTAGTCAAACTGTTCAAATTGGAAATCGAGCTCCTCTAACAGGCAGTTGAACTATTCAAAATCGTGTATATATACCGAAGAAAGGTTGTTTTATAATCTGCCTAGCAGCACACTTTGGTAAATTACTTCATAAATGTAATTTAATTATAGTTACAACGTTTGCCGCCTTTTGCTCCAGCTTCCCAGAGCTGTGGTCTAAACAAGCAAAACTATACCTTTGTCCGAAATAAGGTAATTACAATTAGAACTACTGGACAAAAAGTAATTCATTGCAATTTACATTACTTTTAGAAAGTCAAAAATTTGGGGGTTTTACGTGCCAAACCAACGACGGGCATCTGGCACGCCCCAGCGGAGGACTGAGGATTAATTTCGACCACCTGGGGATCTTTTGACGTGCAACCGAAAGCTCGGTTACACGGCGTCTTCTCCACAATAAGCCTCCGTCAGATTGCGGGCACCTCGGCCGGGATTCGAACCCGCCACATGGGGATCCGTAGGCCGACGCTCTCGCCTCGGAGCCACCGAGGCGGCTACTTTTAGAAAGCAATTTCACAATGGCATTACTTTCTTGGAACTTTGAACCACGCCGACGTGGTTCAAAAGGCTCTGTCCGCTAATGCTGCCGACCACCTGCCAGATTCTGCAAAGGCTGTTCGACAGTAGTACTGTGCCAGGAACGTGGCAATGAGCTTTGGTCACTCCGCTACACAAGGGAAAAGGAAGCCGACGAATGAACCAAAACATTACCGTCCTGTGTCAATCACCTCGATTGTCTGTCGAACATTTGAAAGGATAGTTAACAGCCAGCTTCTCAACCACGTTGAAGAATCCGGCTATCTCTCCGACAGTCAGAATGGCTTTCGAAGAGGTCGCAGCTGCGAATCAGCACTGGCAACTATTACCCATTTTATCAGTGATCACATGGATAATCGAACCATGAGAGATCTAATCCAACTTGACCTAAGCAATGCATTTGATATGCTCGACATTAACCTCCTGCTTGAGAAGCTTACACACGCAGGCATACACGATTTCCTATTCACCTGGATATCAAGCTTTCTGCAGAATCGCAGCCAACAAGTTGTGTACTGTGGGGCACGCTCTACAGAGAGGGTCATGTCATCAGGAGTGCCACAGGGCTCTGTCCTCGCTCCGACGCTCTTTCTCATATTCGTGAACGACATGCCACGCAATGACAAGTGTATCCTAGTGCAATACGCAGACGATACATCAATCGCGATGACAATTTCGTCCCAGTCTGACGCACGTCACTTGCAAAACCATCTAGAAGATGTAGAGAGATGGATCTCGAGACAACACCTAAGCCTGAGCGCATCCAAGAGTTCCGTGATACGTTTCTCAAACTGCAAAAAACAGACAATTGCCTTGTATATACTGTAGCAGGCACTCCACTGCGCACATCAGACCACCTGCCTATCTTAGGTGTCACGTTTTCCCAAAACTTGGATTTTTCCGCACATATTGCCGGCATTATCGCGCAGTCTTGCAGGACGCTTGGCCTCATCACCCGCGTCGCAAGGCCAGGTGGGCCAGCGGTCCTGCAGGCACAATATACATCCTTAGTCCTGCCTTCATTGGAATACTGCTCTGCATGCAGTTTGGTCTCCCCCTCAACAACATCTAATTGAGAGACTGTAGAGCGTGCAGCGCCGTGCAACCCGCAAAATTTGCGCCTGGTCCCTGGCACGACTGACGTGCCGTACCACGCACGGCTCAGAAAACTTGGCTGGCGGCCCCTCGATCAGAGACGAAAGATTTCTCGAGTCTGCGTGCTGTGCCGATTGCTCAATGAATCTCTTTCGGGGACTCGCCTATCGGCCGCCGTGCGTCTCGGTAGAAGATCAGGTCAGCTCGAACTTCTTCGAGGCAGGACTGTTCGTCACAGCGAATCCCTACTGCCCGCCGCCATTAGAGACTTTTTGACCATCCCATTAGCTTCTCGTAGCCCTCTGCCCACATCACACGATGAATCCCGGGAACTTTGCAAGGTATTTGCGAGACGAATGCCTTCGCATCTGCAGACATCATGATCTTCACTCCGTCACCCTCTCCTCTTGAATCATCACCATTGCCACCGCCACCAGCAACATCATCGTCATCACCACCACCTCCATCATCACCGCCATCATAATTTTAATGCTTAATTCTAAAGCTGGGTAGTATTACTCCCAACGGACACAGCAGCAGGCTGGCAGAGACACACGCGTAAGGGTTTTTGCCTATCTGCTTTGCTTGGCAGACCGCCGTGTACGGACCAATTTAAGTGCAAATAAATCACTCAGTCAATTACCATCCTTTGAGATACCCGACGTCAATACTTTCATATAACAGCATATGTCGGTCCGAGACCTATAGCAAAAATCAGATCTGTAAACTATGGCACTGTACTTTACTACCTTAGTTTCGCAAGGTCGTGGCTTTCATTAGTGATGTGATAAAAAATACTTGGCTCAGTCAAAAGTTACGAAGGAATACACAAGAATACTCATTCCGAAACCAAAAAAGCATCCTCGTAGGCCATTAAAACGTTTTATTTAACAAAAAGTGCAAGGGAAAGAAAAAGCTCTCATCTTACTGGTGTTCCCCGTTTTTGTTCATAAAACGTTCCAGTGGACCAGAACGCTTTCTAGCTTTGAGAGGAAAAGGCTTAACCACATGTCGGCTCATGCAACTTTTTATGTTTTTATTTGTAACTTTTGACTCGAGCAAGTTTCATCAATATTATCACATATAAAATTTCCACCACCTAGCTGAACTTGTATGGTAAATTACAGTGTTGTACTTCAGAAATCCGAATTTTAGGTCTATTTAAGTCTGGGCCCGACACACAGACCACCCGGTAGTGGTCTTTATCCCTTAGTGCAATCAGGCAGCAGTGCTTTATTTTTCTTTCCACTTTAGTACATTTGATAATATGCAATGCTTTACACAATAAAACCATTTTGACAGAATATAGCATCTAAAACAAGCAGCAAAGGACATAAATAGAACATGGTTGATGACAGTGAAGTTCAACAATGACAAAGCATGAAATGCAACGACTCTGCATCATTACCCAAAAGAAGGTATTACCCTCTTTAGAGGTCTGCTCAAGCGCAGCACAGCAAACTCAAGCCAAAAAGTGCACAAACATGCACCACCAAATGCATTTTAAGTTTGAAAGAGAAAAGTAATGAAGTATGTGCGATCACATGCAAGCGGTAATATTCTTCGGTTCTATCCACAACCCCTACCCATTTCGATCTGGATGAGCATCGTGCTGGCACATGTTTGTGTATTACTATTGCATGATGCACATTAAAGACCCGAGTCTAGCGGTTACACTGCACTGGCTAAATTGCTCATCTACAGCATAGAGAGCTGTCGCATCACTTAAATGGCAGATAGACATTGCGCTCTTTAAAACTGATAGTGTATGTGGCCCATTAAACTGTTAATTAAAACATCAATCAACACATTTTGATTAACTAGTCAAAATATTGTGACGTTTATCCACTCATCTAATGTCTGCCGAGCCCCAGAAGTACACAGAGAAGACGGAATCTATGTACCCAACACACGCTTTTTTAAATTCTGTAAAGAATGAGGAAAAAAAAGCCCTCTATACATGTTAAAGAACTTTAGTCCCTCTCAATTTTGTTCGGCATGTCACACACAAAGCACTTGCTGTCAGCCGGAAACACCATGAAAAGGCAGTTGGCCTTAATGTCCTCGGGTTTCAGCACCTTACAGATGTCTACCTGCGAAGGAAAACATTCCTTTATATGCTCAGGAAAGAGTGGTGTCTCCCGTAACACCAGCCGTCTGCAAAGGAGCGTGCACCCGAGACCAGCAACATGGAGAATTCTCTTAATTCTGAAATACTCCCCATCAGCAGTTGACACTACAGTGGTGTCACTCTTTGAAGCTCTTGTGTATGCGGTGCTATGGAACACCTGCCCCTTGTACACAAAACGCTGGTATTCCAAAGCGCTGCCAACTGTGCCTGTCCCACCGTAGACCTCTAGCGCACGTTCCTCGATAGCTGTTAGAATGGCAGCTTTTTCACGTCCTAGCAAGCATGCTTCATCAACATAGCAGGCATTCTGGATGTGTGAATAATCAAGAAATCTTTCACACACACTCCGCTCATTGGCAGTGATTGCCACGTTGCTATCTGCCAGAAGGCATTCAAGCTGCTGCGTCATTACGACTCGCTCTACGATTTGATCCGGAAGTCCTCTAGCTGCAGAGACCAGCTTCACCAACTTTCCGTTTCCTCCCTCGAAAACAAATGCGGATTGCGCCCAAAGTGGTCCCAACTGACGCACGGAGTTTGGCAGGTGGAGGAGCTGGTGCACGTTGAACGTAAGCGAAGCCACTCCATACAAGGCCTCACAGCGACCAACAAAGTCGATCAGCAGATTTTTGTGAAAACAAAAAAAGAAGCATGCACAGGATATAATCTCAGACTATAAAATGAATGCATAACATTAACTGAAATTTCAAATGCCGTGCAGCTCATTGGATGATTTTTGGGTGTGATTTCCTACCACAGTTACCTGATTTGCATGCTCTGAGACTTTACACACAACATTCTGTCTAATCAATGCGGGTAGATCTTGACACTCCCATGAGACTGTCATACGGTATAAAAAAAAGACCTTTATGAGGCAAATAGGAGAAAAAAAAGTATGAAGCTTACCTGCACGCTTGATCTCGTCGGCTGTGATGGTCTCACGTAGCAAGATGTGTATTGCTTGCGAGAGCTTGGAGAGATGTTTCCAATACTCCAGAGGCAGAATGTCCACGAGGCAAGGAAGAGCGTAAAACAGAAGCCAGAGTCTCCACTCTGACGCTTTCCAGAAACTGCGCTCGTTGAGTGAACGAGGCAGCCTTGTCACACAGTGTGGTGGCTTGATCTGGAGGAGGCGGCTGTTGACCCGTGCCACGCAGGATGGTGCTCCTGTAAGCAACATAAGTGACTGGGCACATGAGTAATTTATCTTGCTTTAATAACCATATATGAGGCTGTGTACAAAGTACAACCACTCGAAAATGTATTCATGAAAGTTCGCCTCCCCAGAATTTTGAGGCTCAAACCCGAGGTTCAAAAGTGAAAAGTCAAACCCTGAGGTTTAAAGAGGTTTGAGAAATTTGAGAATCAATCTTCCTAACATTTAAATTCATTACGCTAAAAAATATGACAATTTTCAAACTCTTCAATTTGAAAAGTTCAATGAACCTCGAAGGTCAGTCGAATTTCTCCAACGCCAGGCTGTAATGAAATCAGTTTTACCTGTTTTGATTGGGCTAAGCTTTGGAAAAAAATTGTACCTATCTGTTCATGCATGCAGACTATGCGAACATAGGAACAAGCACATATCAGACAACAGGTCAGCTCGATGTTTGATCTGGTTTCGGCATGGCCAAAGCGACGTGGTACAGAAAGTCCATTTCACAGCGAAGTAGAAGCTTACGCTACATGTTAACAAGTGGTGACAGCACTGTATGTTTGTCAGCTTCTGCAAATGTGGTTGTGGGTGGTCTCAAAAGCCATAGATCAAGCATGTGCAGTGCGCCGTGCAAGTACAAAGAGTGACAATTAGCAAAATACAGTGGACATAACATAAAGCATATATTGGATGCACTCTGGCCATCAAAGATGGGCAGCCATGCTATGATTTTGCAAAACACAAACTAAAATTGAATGCCGTGACCATTTTGAAGAAAATCAACGTTGTTTTGTAAATAAACATGCTAAAATGACACTGTTACCATTACTATACGTAATATTTTTATTAGCTGCAACAAAATTTAAAAAAAAAAGAAAATGGGAGGTAGGGTAAATTGGGCCCGGGGCATGGTGGCCACTAGAAAAAAGGCAAATTTGGGTAATTAGTTAGCTAATGAACTAAGCTTGACCTTATAATGGTTTAGCCGTGCCGTCAAATTCTCGTTAAAAATTTGTGAACGCTACAGGGCCGAGAAATGTCACCCTGGTACACGGTGCCAAGTTGAAACTAAGAGAGCAAAAGCGCCGGTGACTTCATTGCTTTGTGTCACACTGCTGATGTCAGCTGCGGTGCGGGCACGTGGGTTGAAGCTATCGCAGCCGGCTTGGCTTGTTTAAGTGAAGCCGGCTGCAATAACGTCGATTCACGTGCCCCGCCACAGGGGACGTCAGCAGTGTCATGCAAAGCGATGACATTACCGGTGCGATTGTCCGCTTTGTTTCAGTCCGATGCTCAGTACCGTGACATTTCTCGACCCCATAGTGCCTACCACAAATTCTTTAATCAAAATTTAATGGCACCGTTAGACCATATTGAGGTCAAGCCTACATCCTCTAGACATATTAGGTGCACTCAAGTGAAAAACTGAAAAGTTAATATAACATTTGAGTTAGTCGCTAACAATTGTTACCTAATTTCGCCTTTTTTTCTAGTAGCCACCATGGCTACTAACACTGCCTCAGGGCTCACATTACCCTATTTCATGTTTTATTTTTTTGAAAATTTGGAGCAGCTAACAAAGACACCTGTATCGATAACATTTTGCTTAGCGATTGTTATATGTATCTGTAAATATACTTAGTTTTAGATACATATTAAAAAATGTGACAAGCAGCTGTAGAGCTAATCAAAATCGGTCAACCAGCCTGGCAATTCTATTTTGCCCAATCTATGCCTAATCTTCTTGAAGGTTAAGCTAAAATTCTGATTTTCCAGATCTGGAGATTTGGCAAAACCTTGGCAACCACTAATGGCTATTGTGTCAGCTTCAAAGTGGACGAAAATGCTGCTATATATAGAGTTACACCTAGAAGATATTCTGATAAAAATGATTAATAGCATGATGATGAATTTGAGACTGTGCGAAACCCAGACCCCATAAAATTTGTACCTTGCGATCTCGGACTGAAAGTCCGAGGTTGCATGGTTCAAAGTATTCAATATCTTCAAACTTTCGAACTCGAACCTTGGGAGGTTTGCAACATCTTTAGGTTTGCCCGGACTGTGGAGCTAGTAACAAGGGGGGACCCTCACTGGAGAACTCCCTGCTTCTGCTCAGTGGGCAAGTAACGAGCAGGAAACGCGAATAGTACTAGTATGTAAAGATTCAAGTCAGGAATTGGCCTGGTAAACACCATTAAGGTAAAAATAGGTCGAAGAGGTGCCACAAATTATGAAAAGAGCAACTTATGCGCCAACTTGTAACTGGAAATGAGACATTTTGGTACTGTACGACGTACCTATGTAGAACCGTTTTTGAGAGTTGGATGAAGAAAGCAGCAGTTCTGTAAACTGCTTTGCTGCTCCTTGAAGAACGGCGTGCATATACTCGACGCTCACTCCGGCCACAAGATCAAATCCTGAAAGTAAATGTTACATGTCTCTCAGTTTCTAACTCTAGGGACTGCAAAAAAGCATGCAACTGACAAATCACAAGTTCAATAATTCCAAGAGTATAGCTGGTAACAGTTCATGACATTGAATCTTTTAGTGTACCTCCTGCTTTTTCGGTGAAAGAAAAAATATTAGTATATTAACTCCGCAAGTATGCTGGTCAGCTACTCTGTGAATTGGAAAATCAAAACATCAATTAGGTGTTCCAAAAGGTTTCTCTGAAACCGAAATAGAGTACAATTTTATTGAACGGTCGATTGCCGATCAGAGAATATTGACAGGTTTTACCATCGAAAACCATTACAAAATGCTCTTCTTAGCGCTTCGTACAAATGAGTATGGACGTGAATTTCAGAAGAAATTTGCGTGTGTGTACTGCCTCTACTGTCTGTTTCAACGGCATCTTTCTTAGAGACCACTGTTGGCTAAGCTTATGAGAAAAAAAAAAAAAATTAGGGGGGAGGTGGCACTCTTACAAGCATAGGAAGGCAGAATGCTAGCCCTGCCTCTGCCGTGGCGCTATGAATTTTTCCCCAAGCTTTGCAAAGGAGGGAAGGAAGGGAACAGTCTTGTCTTACTCTTGAGATTACACAGCAACCACAAAACTTGTGGCTCAGCAGTGTTACGTGTGAGTATACTTGTGTCACGCTTGTGTCAGTATGCTTGTGCAAAGTACTTCGCATCTTTCAGTTGGGCGCCACTGATCACCGATTTTTCCACTGTTGCAGCCTGAAATAAGTATTGGCTTGCAAACTTAAACTAGAAAATTAATTCACAGCGCATCCAAGTAGCCCGTCGTAACATCAGCTAACAGACCTTGGGGAGAAATTGGGGGCACGGCTGTGGTCATCTTCGCTGAGCATCTGCTACTGAACATTTGCAAATCAACAGTGCATTGAGAGTACAAAAGTATGTAGTTCATAATCTCAGAAAGTAAGAATGTAACATATCAGAGTACAGTCGGAACCCAAAGAGATTAGCACAATTAAGTGATCAACGTGCGGAGCATTGTGCTATTCGAAAACAGAATCAAAATCACAAAGATTTTGTGTGACTAATACTTTCTGTTCTCAGTGTGAAACAGTTTGCTTCGATCGCTTGAACCTTGGATAATCTCACCCTGTTCTTTAGACATTCAGGGAAAAAGCCACACCTGGTAGATTCATTAGCGGAGAAGGACCCTTGATTCCATTTATGGTGATCCCCAATCTCAAGGAAAGCTGCATATCTCGGACCACAAGCTCAGATGTTCTTGGAGCCGGTGGTTCCTTGGGCACGTAGCGCATGCTTCCTGTGAATAAAAATAAACGAAAATATATTATGAGGTTGCACCCAGTAGGCTCAGAAAAACATAATGTTTAGTTTGAACTGCAATGTGCACGTGCAAGAAGACCGATACATACCTTCCAGGTGTTCCCCACTTATGAGGCACCAGGGACATCCAAACGAGCCGTTGAAAAGTACCATGTTCTGAACTGCTGCCCTCGCAGGTGCGTCGACACAGCAGCAGAGCACATAAGCTCTGGACCTGTGCATCTCAGAGCTATGCTCCCACATCACGGGCGTCATGCTTTTGACTTGATCAACAAACTTTGCGAGGAAGGCAGTCATGTTTGGATGGCCTTTTCCGAACCAAAGTCCGGCTAGTGTGGTGTGCTTGAAGCGGATGCTTGGAGGGAGCTCATTCACAGTGAATTGAATAGGCCAAACAGACGTTTTGGATGACACGAAGAGAGGACTGCCGTCTGTGTTAAAAGTCAAAGAAAGATCACTGTCCCCCATCCCAGTCTTTCTGCGCAGAGCATCATAGGCTTCACCTGTTGTTATGTCAGTGACACCACTTCCGCTTGATAAGGTACTACATTCCATGGCAAGCTTCAGGAGGTTGTTGTGAAGAAGCTCCTTGGTCTTCTCAATAACGAAGGACAGTTGCTTCGTCATGTCAAGCATTACGAAGTAGGATCCATTCTCTTTTAGCACCTTCAGATCTATCCCTTGCTGGCACACTGAGCAGCTGGCTGCAGTCTCTGCGTCTTCCAGAACTGCTCCACAGCCCTCACAAAGGTAGTAGTGGCGAACCAAGTTTTGCGTCGTTGCTGACCAAAGCTTGCGGAAAGCATATTTGCTTTGCGGCACGACTTGCCTTCCAAACAGGGCATTGATGAGCACGAGCAAAGAATCGAGGCCCGACCACGTCATGCCCTGCGATACGACGTGGGCCATTATCATGGCGATGGCGCCGGCTTTTGTCGTCGTAGAATGGGGAAGTGTCTCCGTCCCGAACTGATTGAAACAGGACGACAGAAGGTGTTCGAGCAAGGGCTGTGGTACAGGGTCATTTCCATTCATCTCGTCATCATCATCTCCATAGTCCTCACCAGAGTTCACGACGTCGTCTTGAACATCGTAGTTCTCGTCGCTAGCATTTAACGATTCCGAACGCTCGCGTTCGGCATCTGTGCTCAATTCGGATTCTTCGGAATGGCAGTCCTCGTCATCAGAATTATTCCCAGCGGATTTTAGTGCTTGGGGAACTCGAGTTAACGGGGTGAGCACGTCATGAGGGGGGTCTCCAGGGTCCTGAGCATCCCTTGTACTGTGAAAATATTGCGTTGATCTAGGCATCACAAAAGGCTCACTCTCTGCCAAGTAACATTTCCGACGCTTGGCACCCGGTGAGCTTTCCATTGCAGCTAAAACTTAACAGACAAAGAACTTGGCGCCACCTGTTGAAAGGATAATGGAGACCATAGTCAATGAGACTTGGATTGACTACGTTCTAGGTGTTTGTGAGCAATCGGAACCCGGTTTCTTACACCGGAAAAATAAAATAGAACTATACTCCGTTTAACCTTCAGTCCGAGCGCAGCGGACGCTAGGAGCCATCGAAGCCAATCCCGCGTAGAGAGAGTGTCATGTGACCTTGAGCTCCCTGGGCCGCTCTGCCCAACCGGCAGGTCACGCGATTTTCTCCCGGCGCTGGATAGGCTGGTATAGCTGGTGGCGTCCACTGCGCTTGGACTGATGGTGGAACGGAGTATAGTAAAACGTAGTTCCAGCAAGATGCCAAAATGTCAAGACTTACCAAAACCAAAATAAAAAGTTAGAGGCCAAAAAAAAACTGCTTTCGTCTCTTAAAACCTAGGTGGCGCGAGCTACCGTCCAATATAAAAATAAGTCAATTTTGTTTATTTGTCTATTCATACAGGCGCAGCCAGTGGGCGCAGCCTAGCCAAGCCCAGTCCCTGTCTTGCGCGCGCTTTCTGTCGTCTCTTGCGTGCCTGCGTTTGACCGTCTGCGTCGCCATAATTGCTTTATCGTTGCTTGCCCGCGTCCCCATCATTGCTCGACCGTTAGAGGTGGACGGCTGGACCTCGACCGCCCGTACGCTCGGTTTTTTTGCGTCGCGGGTGTTGTGGGCGTCCGTTGGGCGATGTACGCATTTGTAAAGTTTACCGACGGTGGCCGACTGGTTATGCCGATCTCGATGATAAAGAAGTTTAGGCCTAGGGATGATCAAGACTGCAACCCAAAACAAAAGCTTGAAGCGTTCTGGATCTCTGAGAAAGGAGGGGAAGAAGGCTACTACGAAGCGACGGTGGAGATGCTTGGAGGTATGTGTATTCGTGTGATACCTTTTTTAAGATACCATGCTCAGGAATCGTCGGTTCTGGAGATTTTTGTGTGAGCTAATACGCACGTGGAGCAGGGCGGCCGGGCACGAACAAGTGCGCCTTACTTCTAACAAATGCCCCCATCGTTCAAGTACTTGCGCAGTGAAGGCACATGGTTTCACAAAAGCTGTAATTCGGGCTATTTGAAAACGGGTGTTACGAATGCATGTACTGTACTTTTTTAGTGTGAAGGCTGCATTCGAGGAACAAAAACAAAGGTGAAGCGCCACCCATGAGCGTCACGCATGAAATGTTTTATAGCGAGTTGGTTTCACGGCACTCGTGCCCACGCGTGCCCACTCGCAACGTGGAGCGGGTTCGTTTCAGCCGGCACTCCGCGAGTGGTTGCACTCTATAGCGCGAAACACATGTACGACGAAACCGTCCGATCCGACGTGCGGACTGCCGGAATGACCTTGGGGGCGAGGGTTTCCGTAGCATCGGAGAGCGTTGAAAACCCTCGCCTCCGACCGTCGTATTGCGCGGTCGGACGTCGGATCGGACGGTTTCGTCGTACGTGTGTTTCGCGCTTAAGAGTTCGTTTCAGCGCCAACACCCCACGCGTGCATGGACTCGCTGCACCGAGGAAATCGTGAGTGCGCCAAAATGCAATCCCGTCATGCCTCGCTCCGGCGAGGAGCGATGAGCAGACGACGAGGACTCGTCTGCTACGATGTGTCGCGGAACCGAAAGGAAAAAAAAGAAGATTTTTTGATAGAAATCGGGTCCCGCGGGCAAAGGAATCAAATGCGAGCTTGAATTGTAAGCGTCTGCTACTTCATGAAGGAAGCAACTGACAAACCGTGCTTTATTTGCAGGTTTTAAGTCGCTCCGTTGCCGTACAGACGCTGAAATATACCGGTGTGTAAAGAAATGCTCAGAACAGACGCATCAGCGGCCCTCGATATGTTTATCACCATCCGTGCGCGGGTGAAAAATTGAACATTTGTCGACAAAACTCGTGTTTTGTCGACAAATGTTTAACATTTACCTACGTAAGCTAAGGTACCCCGTCGTATTTTGTTCGAGAAAGCTCTTTCTCGACGCCTCACCACGGCTGATATCTGATTCACCTGTAATGATGATCGAAATCGAAAGTCCCACGAAAAGTTTTGCTGGATATTCCAAGAGACAAGTTTTTAAGCCGTACCCTTTCAGTGGTTCACGTATGATACCATGCTCAAATGGGTCAAGCTTCTGCTCGGACAGCATCATCAGTTTTCTTCAGTGTAAGCGGCTATAAAGAGATCGCAACCAGCCGCTTTGTAGACAGCTGGCTGCGGAAATTTACGCCGTCTGTAACCATCTTTACGACAGCCCAGTTGCTTGAAGTCATCGCAAATATAAACTATAGAAAAGAGTCAAAGTACAGGCTAGCTGGTGGAAGTCAACCATTTCGTCGTTTACCCTGAGACCCCCCAGTCTCAGGGTAAACGACGAAATGATAAACTACAGGTTGCAGCGACCAACGTTTGTAGATAAACGTTGGTAGCGACTGCACTCTCGCATTTCCACCCATGACTCCGAACAGAAAAACACTATTTTCGGTTTGAGGTTGGTACCTTTTCCATGACATAGATGGCGACAGCATCAGTTTTCTGGACTTGGTTTTCTGCACTCGGTGCATCTGGCGAGTTTGTTTGATTCCAGTTCTCCGTGCAACACTCTGCGAGTGCGATGCATTCTGGGAGAGAACTCGAACAGCGCCAGTGCGTGTGAAACGAACTCGCTATTAGACACCTATGCTAGTCGAGTAAACGCTCCGTAAGCTGGTGTGCTAAAAATGGAGTCACTCCATCTTAAGACGTTTTGAAATCAGAACATAAGAAGCTTTCATGTTCTCCACTAGTGCGAGGCGATGTGATGTGCGTTATTGCTTGTTCTAATTTTCAAAAGTAATGCTATGGTTTGGCACGTTACCCACAATCTTCGCAGGGACAGTTGAACTTCTCATCCAAAAAATGCAGAAGGCAAGAGTAGCAGTGCCAAGGATTCTCAACAACCTCCCTGAAGGTGGAGTTGGAGACTCCATGCAGAAGGCAAGTTCATGTTTCAAATAGCTTAATTTCCATGTGCCTGCTGGCACATGGAAATGTGCCACCTACTGGCAAAAGCTTGCTGATACAGCAAGCCTTTGCCAGTAGGAATGTATATAGCTACCTACTGTTAGGGGGAACTCACTGATGGATGGACGGTGCTCCGCGTTTTGACAGCTGCTGGGGCAACGGGAAGCTCAGTGCAGACGCAGTAAAGCATGAAACACATGTACGACGAAACCGTCCGATCCGACGTGCGGACTGCCGGAATGACTTTGGGAGCGAGGGTTTTCGTAGCATCGGAGAGCTTTGAAAACCCTCGCCTCCGACCGTCGTATTGCGTGGTCGGACGTCAGATCGGACGGTTCCGTCGTACATGTGTTTCGCGCTTAAGCTTCAGTAGCAGACAACGCGCTGCATACGCCACCAATGCTGCTCACTGCATCTGTTCTGAGCCAGCCGAGCAGACTCGGTAGTTGGCTTATATGTAAAATTCTAAGTTTCCAGATTTTTATTTTTTTAAGTGAAATTTTTTTTTATTATTATTACGTATTGACTAATTGCACTTTTTTCAAGCATCTTGTCCCAAATGCAGTACATTAGGCTCGTGTCTGAAATATTCGTCCCACAGCAGCACTTGCAGACGGATGGCTGTAATTAGGACAAAGAGCGGCACAATTCTCACAGAACAGTTTAGAATGAGAAGCGGCCTCACTTTTCTCCTCGCTTCGGTTCACTTTCTCAAGGCAACTTAGCGAAGAGGAGAGGGAATGAAGAATCATGACGAGAGTATGTCCCGTCAGCCTTGTTGAATTGCTCCCTTTCATTCCCAAAATACGGCCATCCCTTTGAAATATTGCTGTACAAGTGATGTCAGGGAGTTTGTAGCGTACCGCCTGTCACTCCTGCCTTGATTAGTCATAGCTTACAAATCAAATTTTTTGATATTTGTTTAGGTCTCGGCCCAACATCAGGACTGCGTGGTAGAACTTGCCTACTGCCTCCTAGATTTTCACTATACTCCGTTTCATACATAGCGTACAAAGCTGGGAAAGGTACTGAAGTAGTGCACATGAAAAAATATTTAAAAAATGTGTTACTCTACGCGTTTCGGGGAC